AACAAGTCATAAAGAAATTAATAGTTCCCTTGTCACTGTATGTAACACATTTTTGTCAGACACACATTGTTATCAGGGATAGTGACAAACATGAAAGGACTTAATGGAGGAGTTAGATATACTGACACTATCTGGTCAACTGGTACATAACTTCAGCCAATAGTAGGGATTATTAGTAAGAAGTAGGGCTGTCAATTAATCTAGGCGATTAATGTGGCCTAGATTAATGGAAAAAAATATTTCAACGTAGTTAACAGGCGTTTGTTTACTTCAGGTCTACTTTACTTTACGGTCCCGGAAGTAAACCGCAGAAACGCTAGAAGCAGCTAGCTGCAGTCAGTTACATCAAGATGGAGAGAGCTTTTTGCTTTGAAAGTAAAACGAACAGTGGTGTGACATACAGCAGAGAATTGTACAGAGGAATTACTCCATGTGTCAAACAGAAGGGGGGTGAGTGTCACTTAAAGCGCTGCTATGTTAAGCTAGCAGCTAGGCTAATCAGCTGCTATGCTACTTCCATCACAACATCTAACGTTACTGTGTGGCACAGTCTGCAGAGGACCACCACTGTGTTGCTAAAAGACCGTGGTTTGAAAACGTCCTGGCTAAATGTGGGGAGATTGTTGGCACTTCAAACACAGTCATTAAATGATGCAGAGTTGAGGGCAAAGTGCACGAGGACAACAGGACAAGTCGCTAGTTCAACATGTTCCACCCGGTGGAATTCTGTCTCCAAGATGATCAAATACGTGTAGTTTTGTGTTTAAACTAACATTAACAATTAAACAACAGTGTCTAAAATACACACTTACTAAAGTGATTACTTTTATTTAGTCTTCATTATAAACAACATTGTAACAACAACAACAACAACATTCATTAATCGCCATTAATCGAGATTAATGAATTTTAAAATGTGCGATTAATTAGTTTTTTTTTTTAATCTATTACCAGCCCTAGTAAGAAGACAAGTGGATGTTGACAAGCAAGATAAAAGGCAATGCTAGCAGTCATCATTTACTTTCTATTGGATTTTTTTGCAGACTAACCTCGTTGAAGAACGGGTTATTTCCTCTTCTGATTCTGGTCCTGTGCGTCTGTCCACATACATTCACCTTAACCACTGGCTTGATGTTGTTGCCAGGCAACTGTCGACCCTCGATAACCCGGACACGGATCTGAACATTGAAAGACGCAGTGAGGCAGCTGAACCAACAGTGAGGACATTTACCCGGCTCATTTATGAAAAGGTACCATTGATTTATTTGGGTTGACAAAAACTGTTACAGGACCTTTTACAGGAACAACATTTTTTTTACAAAAGATTACCAGTGTAAATGCTTGTCCTTTCCTGAATAAATAGAATGTTGATATGCTTGTAATTATTTAAAATTAGGCATATGTGTTAGAATTCACTATGTTATGAATTCCTGGTATATTTGCACTAGCCTGCTGTAATTTTTGTGATTAATGATAAGAATGTAACCTCAAACTGGCATTAGTGATGATCCAGGAACACATTACTCAAAATGTGAACAATACCTGGAAGTCCTGAAGCTTATTGGCCAAGGCGCTATTCCTCTTACGGCTGAGATGGACTGACTTGTGTCTGGGTTTCCCAGTCTGGTTTGGGAAAGTGGGAGCGCCCGGGCTTCCATTCTGAATTCTTCCCCCGATGTCCGCATCCCCCTCATCACCCTCATCATTGTCTCCTGTGCAGAAAAGACACTTTTTCATTGGTCCAAAACTTCTAATTTTGAAATTCCTTATTTTACATCACTTTAAGTGTGTTTATTAATTGATTGTTTACCTTTGTGTTTTGTTTAATTATTTGTATGACTTTGTATACCTCATAGAAAACGCTGATATGAATTGTTCTAAAGAAATGTGATGTTTAGTTTTGTTATTTTTGGAGGAAATAAGTAGAATCACAACCACCATCTGTTTTCATTCCATAGACTTAACAGATTACTCACCTGCATCCACATGAGACGTTTGTCTATCAGGTTGCTCATTTAGGTCTGGTCTGAGGTCTTCAGGTGCTTCATACCGAATGAGCAAATTGATGTTTGCCTAATAAAAGAAAATGCTTTCTGAATTAGCTTCATCATCTCTACTGTATATGTTTAACACAACAATTATATGTATTCACCCCAGTAGCCTGTTGCTTCTCATTGATCAAGGGCACGTTCTTTGATGGCAGTAATGTTATGTGACCACTGGCCAAGTCCCTCAGAGGAATTTTTGCCGAGCCAATGAACCTGAAAAGAATTTACAGATATTTTTACTTTCGACGGGACAGGCAGTTGTACACATTTTTCTTAAATGCATTATTACGTATGGACAAAACAACAGTCTTAGTTTGAAAAGGGACAACAAGCTAAAAGGAACAATCAGAGGATGCTTTGGTTTCACAGTTTGTGACAAACTTCTTTAATTTCCACTTGAGGGAATTCAAAGCAATGTTTGGGAATGTAATTACCCGTTGCTGTGGAGTTGGCGGTTTGTACTTCCCTATTTATGTTCTTCACATTATGTTATGAGAAGCCGAGAAACAACTTTTTCTACCCAACAGAAGCGGTATAGCGACAGTGGTTATTCACCACAATAGATTGTGCTCAGGCTTCGTTCTCTCAACAGTTGTGCCATAATTGTGTAATTAATCATTACACAGAGCTTACACAACATGGCTCGTGTTTTGAAAGCAGGGTCAACTGTGGAGGATGAAACAGAATCTGCAAAGACCGTTTACATTCTCCACAACGCAGGATTTATTGCCTCACCCACTGCAGAGGCCACATGCAAGGACTGGTTCATACAATAATACAAATTACGGTTTGTTGGCATTACTCACTTCAGAAACGAGAAAAACTTTCAAGTATTTAGATCTGCTTCTCTGACATACTGATATATTTTCCACCTCCTGCACATCACTCTTAAACAAAGCAAATTTAGGCCAAACAAACTGAGCAGCCTGTCGAATGGCTTATTTTGATCAAAGTGGATTCCACACTGGATTAGAGGATGTGGTACAACTAGTCATCCAAAATGTGCCAATGACAAGCCCACGCAAGCTTTCCTGTTCACCCCCCTCATGCAGCGATCATGGAAAAATATCCCTGTGTTATTGGCCGAAGCACTACCCCGCCACCACCCCACCCTCTCCTTCCTCTTCCCCCCCCCAATCCCTTGTGCCTGCCCCAGGATGATTTATATTATACACAATCTAGAGTGACTCAGTGGAAATTTATATCTTAGTTATTATTATTCTCGCCTGCACTGCAGAAAGACAAAACAGATTAAAAAAACAGATAAACAATGAGGAATTAAGCAGAAACAACATAAATTGAAGTCTGAGTCTACTTGTGATGAATCTACTTGTGTGTCTGTGTGTGTGTGTGTGGGGGGGGTTGGAATGAAGTTTTTTTCCTTTTAAGGTAACAATGGTCCTAAGAGCGATAGTGCTGTTCTTATGCAGACAAAACAACCTCTTCCTTGACACTGAAACCGCGGCAAGTCTCAACATAGCCGCAGTGAGTCCTGTGGTTTTTCAACTCAGTGGAGTTACAACGTGCTGCTCGGCTCTCAGCCACGATGGTAAAATGGATATCGCAATTTTGATGCCTGACGCTCGGAATTCTCGTACTTGTCTTTGCCGATTGTCTCATAGTCTTTGACAACCACGTCGATGAAGGAAGATGCATCCAAGGAAGAGCCTTTCAGATCAAATTCAAGCACCTGTAATTACAGGAAAGAGGTCTTTACAATCAATGATTTCAAACGACCACATACAACAGCTTTCACTGAGGAAAGGACAGCAGCTATTTCCAAGCGAATACACTGTAAATGTCCATCATTACAGTGAACTCATTCTGCACTCACTTCGTTCCATACAGGATTCAAATCACTATCAATTGCTTTGGTTTTCTTCTTTTCACCTGTGAACACAACAAACCATATTTATTTATGTATTGTATATTTTGATTTCCTGGAGAGAATAGATCATCACACACACGCACGCACGCACACACACACACACACACACACACACACACACACACACACACACACACACACACACACACACACACACACACACACACACACAACTACTCAATCAACCTTTTACAATCAAATGTAAAGAGTGAAACCCTGAAAACATAAAGGCATCTATACTTTTGTAAAAAATAAAGTTAAAAATGTGAGGCCAAATAAAGTTGCTGTTATCAGTGGACAGAGGACGTTTATGATGCATTCTTCATTTTGATAAGGAATCACCGCCTATTTATTAAAACTACTGTAAACTCACTCACTTTGCTGCAAAAGTAATATACAAAAAACCTAATGGATTACAGAAAAGATTAATAGATTGACAATATAAATAAAACACTGTGCGTGCACGAGAAAAGAGTTATTAATACAGCAGTTATCTCAGATATATGTGTTTTTTAAAGCAATAGTCTCACCTCTAAAGACAATTGCAGCGATTGGATCTGGGGTTCCAATTTTCTTTTTGGGGATCCCACTTGCCGACTCCACAACTACTCGAAGCATTTTGATAAAGTCCACATTTATTCAGAGAAAGGAATCATCTTCGGTGGAGAGAGAGACGGAACTGAAACACACAGATGTACAGACTGGGTGAGAACTGGATCCCAGAGGACTGCCTCACCCATGAGTCACAGGCTCCCCGGGTGGGGGACGAGACAACACGGAAATCACAGGCTAGTTTCCTCGTTGGCTTTTAAAAAACGGAGTCATGCGGATAACTAAACGGTGGCTGGCTGCACTGTGCAGAACTGAGGGGTAAATCGTGGCAATCCAGGCAAGCCCGCGGAGTTGGTCCTCTCTCGTGTTGTGCTGCAGCGCCCCCCGGTGGCGTGTGACGCATAGCCTTCCCTCCATGCTTCGAAAAGAACTATACAAAACAAAACAAATCCCATTTTATAAATAGTTAAATCACAACAAAACACGCTGCTCCAGAGACTATACGGTTGTTACTTCTAGATCTTCGCAGGGAACTGCTCTGGCTGCACCGGGACGAGTTTTAGGCGGCAGTTTTTTAGCAGCTAATGTTAGCTTTAGCTAACGTTAGCTGGACAAATAACGGACCTCCCTGACTGGCTAACGTTAGCTGCCCGGTTACTCACGATACTTGGATTCTGAAAAACAAGGTTAGTTACTACTCAACTAAATTATTGTTATTGTTATGTGATGTCATATATTCGCTGTTCAATGTTACTGTTGTCAACAAAAACAATAAATCTGAAAATAGTCGTTGGGTGAAGTTGAAGTTTTAACTTACATAACTTTAACGTTAGCTATTTAGCCGTAGCTACTAAAGTTAACTTATTAAAGCCAACTGTTGCCCCAAGAGTCACTAAACTATAGATCCATGTAGTAAAGTTAGTTAGCTTAACTTTTTAGATATTGCATTCATTATATTACGAATATCACTGGCTATCTCTCTTTATTAACTAAGTTCAGTTACAGTATTTTCTTATTTTTTACTGAGCCATGTTAGCTTAAAAGTGGAGCTAGTTAAGGCTAGCCAATTTTAGCAAGCCAATTTGAACTCAACACATTTTTAAACACTAACTCAATGTCATACAAAAGTAACTTTAGCATTATTGTGGGATGAATTAATTAAATGAATGATTCACGCTAACTTTCGTCTGTAAAGGTGTAAACTAACCGTGTGTGGCTGTAGCTAAGGCTAGTTAGATGTTTGAATTGCAATAATTCTACTTTGCTAATGAAAACATCTACAAGGGAATCCACCTATTGACCATGCTTATTTTTCAAGTTGTATGTTGTGACAATATGTAATATTTTTGTGTCAGTCCCTTGTATAATTTGTCAACAGCAGGCATAGATGGCTTCCACCAGATACACGCGTTTCCTCAGGAAAGAGCTAAGAAAGAAGTCAGAGCTCGATGTGGTTGTGATCAGCTTGAGGGCAGAGAATGCCTGTCTGAAGAAGACCCTGGTTCAACAAAACCGGCTAGCAGAGGTACGTACCAACAGATGTCACTAGCTAGGGTTTCTCGCATTAAGCAGTTAAATGATCTTATAAATGTTTTAATGCAGTGTATTCATTTACTGTCATTAAGCATTTAAAAAAAACCCTCTCATTGTCTTTTTTTTGTTGCAGAGATTCTTCTCTTTTCAAACTGTTTGGCTTAGGAGGTGTCAACTGCTCACCACCAAAGAAGAGGTCGCTCTGGAGTCAGAGCAGATGAGTAAGAAAGAAGGGAAGCAGAAGGACGTGGTGAGTATGAGGAGAAAGAGAACCATGTCAACTTACTTAAGAGAGACCAAAGAATTTAAGAACAAGCTTATCTCAAAGGTTGCATGGAAGAAGGCAAAGAACAACTCTGTTTTACTATACATGGATGTAGTGCTGAAGGAGCTTCAAAAAAGAGATGACAGAATGGTGATTAGTAGTGGAAATCATGAATTTTTTCTAATGAAATTACCTTTTAAAAATGATGATATTCTGCACTTCAACCCGAGTGTTACATTAACAATAAGTTATAGGTTTTAACAAACCTTAGGCTAAGTACGGTTGACCATTTTCAAAATTGGCCCTTATTGTGTAGAAAATTACAGGTGCTATTAGTAGCATCATCAATATTCTTGATATATATCCTGATATAATTGGATTGTCCAAACCGCTCTTACCAGTTTTAGACCACTAGATGGCAGCAGTTGCTTTGACGGTTCTTCAATTTAGAAAATTAATCCTGTTCTCCATTTACATAAAAAAAGTTCTTAATGCAGAGTATACCTTCACAGTGACCAAGGGAACCACGAGAACGCGATCCCCTGGGCGTCGCCGTGATATTTCACAAAGCAGTGTCTTATTAAAGCAGGGGGGAGAATTGTGTGAAATCGTTATTGATTTATATATGTGTGTAATATCATACTGTTTTTTTCCTGTGGTCAGATAGGACTCCACTTTAGATGAAGAATGGGCCTCAACCAACCATGCAGTGGATTAAGGATTTTTTCCGAAATCCTTAATCCACCTCTCTGTATTGGTGGTTACTTTTAAGCAGCTACCTTGTACACAGGCCTGTGGACAGTGTACATTTTTCTTACTATTATTACAGGTCATTTAGAAGACGCTTTTATCCAAAGCGACTTACATTACACTATGGCTTTTCATATTTTTGCCCAGGGAGCAATTAGGGGTCACATTAGGGACACTTCGACTTGAGACATGGGGCAGCCGGGACTCGAACCACCAACCTTGCGGTTCCCAGCACACCCGCTCCACCCCCTGCGTCACGCTGAGCGTGTTTTACTCCAGAGACCCCCCCCTCCTCCCCTTGGTGAGACTTGCTTTCTTTCTTTTGCTGTTATGTGCTTCTCATTCTTTTATTTGATCCCCCGAGGGCTTGGAGGAAAACGAGGAGAGGCTGGAATATGACGAGCAGAGAGATTCCTACGTGAGGGCGACTCTGGCCAGAATGTTATGGCTGGAGAAGCAGCTGAACGAAGCTAATCAGGCTCGCTTACAGCAGAACAATGAGGGCCATTCAAATGGTGAGTGAGACAGTGGGCAGCGGGCGATCAGTGCTGGGAGCACAAGGGGTAACAGATTGTCACAACAAGGTTTTTAAGATATTGAGATTGTCCTCGAGTAGCTGGCTGGTACAGAATATACAGCTTGCAATGCATGGGGCTAAATCATGTATTTCAATACTACATCATCCATGTTCACGGATGTCTCAGACATCTTTCATTGTGTAATTGTGTCTTTTTCTCTTTTTTTTCAACATTAAACTTTCCAGCTCTCATTAGAGAAGATGAGAAATTCAGCCACATGCAGCAGCACCATGAAAGACTCTTACGGGAAGCTGAAGACGAGCAGAAGGTGCTCAGAGAGAACTTCAAAACGATCGAGCGGAAACTGATAATGACCGAAAACGTGTATGTCTGCTACTCAGAAATGAAGAATACGTTGCAGCATAAAGTTGGTAGTCACCTGGGAGATGGACTCTTTTTTTAGGTGCCAGGAAAGAGAGAGGGAGGTAGACAAGCTAAAGCAACAGCTGCAGACTGAAAATATGAGCAGAACAAGTTCACAGGTCGAGGATCAATGCTTTGAGGAAGAAGAGCAATGGATGAGTGCTGAGAGCGGAGATCTCCAGTACAGAATGGAGGAGGAGAAAACGAGAGTGTCTGGCTTTGGGCTGCAGGTAAGTCTTCATTGAACTGTTCAGGAAGAAAAATTAAGAATCATATCTTTGATAATATCTTAATGGTAAATTTCTCTTTGTTTTATCTCTTTCAGAAGTTATTGTTAAATGGTCAAGAAAAGATTGCGGAACTGGAACGACAGGTATGAAAGTGTCAATCATCTCAGTTTTGGTCTTACTTTGGTCTTCTTAAATTAATCCTTAGTTTTAACAAGAAAGTTGAGGGATATTGTTAATCCATCAGCTCTTAATATTGCTACATTAAGTACTCATTGAGGAGGCTCATCAGCTCGTCTACTTTAAGTCTGCCTTTGTGAATCCAAACCTCATTCCTCCACATAATTGGGCATTTCGTTTCCCTCTTTCCTTGTGTAAGAAAATTATCTCATTCTTTGTGTTTTGAAAAGTAATATCTATAACTATACAATATGATGTTTTCACTTTTAGATCCAGATTTATTCACAAGACCTTGAGGATGAGAAGCAGAATTGTTCATATTTGAAGAGCGTTCTGAAGAAGCAGCGTAAAACTAACGGCCGTGTGGACAAACCGTCAGAGGTTTGCATGAATAATAAAAAGGATTTCATTAGTCATCATTGTATTTTATCTTCATCGATGATGAACTTTGAAGCTTAATTTTTGTCAATAATAGGAAATTGTGGTTTTAAAAAAAGTAGTTTGGACCAGGAGTGACTCCTTATTCACCTTTCATAGTAACTTGTGATCTTTTGTTAATATATAAATATTGATTAGTAAAGCTTGAAGTGTTGTCGCTCGACAATAATTCCACTTGAAAATGTCATTTAATCACCCAAAGTCTGTCTTTAATGAATGATTTCTGACTGCATTCATATCAGAGGGACCAGCGGGAGACCAGAGACGGCCCGACATGGACCCCCACCGGCAACCTGCTCAACGAAAGCTTCCTGGAGTGTCCCAGCTGCCAAGCCGAGTACCCAGTCAGTCACCACCGTAAACTGATGAGCCACCTGGAGATCTGTCTCAAATAAACCGGGCCCAGTGCTTCTTCAATTGTGTATCTTCTGGATTAGACATTGTTTTGTTAACCTGCTGTGTAACCAGAGGAACACGTCACCTTAATAAACTACATGTTCAGTTGCCATGGCTGTGCTTCATGGGATTTTGAATGAACTATGAAAGCTGTGGTTAACAGACCAAAGCAGATTCATAGTCACACCAGCAGGTGTGTGGATATTAAAGTACCTTAGAGGATTGATTCCTATGACTTTAACTAGCAGCAGGTCAAAGTCACAACATCTACGAGATACAGGATTGCTTTTTAATGACTTTGGTGGTCACCAACACAAGGTTCTCTTTTCTGATTGTGAGTGAATTATCCATGGCACTATTGGATGGATTTTGTTGGATTTGCTACAGATCGTCAAGATCCATCAAGGATACATTTCCGCTGACTCCGGTGGTACCCTGACTTAATCAAACACGTTAATGAAAAATGAAAATCAGCATAGCTTTAGACTCTTAGTATTGTTTGTAAGTATTACAAAAAAAATGGACAGTGGACAGTGTGTGTTTGTACACAACACAACTGAAACATTTTTAAATAAACCAAGTAAACCTGGAAATCTAATTCACAATGTAAATAAAACAAGTGTCTTAACTAATTAGACTCAGCAGCTCCGTCAGAAACTGCTCTAACGCTGCGGTTAACCGTGTCAACGTCCGGTAATGTTTGACTCTTCAGGTAGTAGTAGTAGTAGTCAGTTGTAGTATTACTACTTGTAGTAATATTAGTATATTTTGTACTACGGGTAGTAGGAGTAATTTTAGTATTAATATCAGTGAGAATACTTGAAGTAATACTGTTAGCAAGAGTAGTATCAGTTGTAGTAGTATTAGTCGTAAAGTAGTTGTAGTAGAATTTGTGATATTTCAACAAAACGCTTTGCTTCTGAGCTCCATGTTTAAGAACTGCCTCCCTCACTGACACACGACAGCTGCTTCATCATCCCTCCGTCACTTCTCTCCCTTCAAAAGAGATGATGATTCAGCTTTGTTTTAGATGGTATGAGCTGTCAGCAGTTCAGCATCCTTGGTTTTAAATTTAAAAGCATATTACAAGGCTGGTATAGTGGACCTCTAATGGCTTGATAAGCGCTGACAGCAGGGGTCCGGAGGTTAAGCACCTCCGAGGGAAAATTGACTGCAGCATTTGTTTTGTAAGCCTTGGTTGCTCTCAAGCGTCCAGATACTTCTGCAGTTGCTTGATGATGTGAGTCACAGTATCTGCAGGAGAAGATCAATGACGTTTCCAAAAAGTCTTCCTGTTGTTGAACAGGAAAGTTTATGGAAGTATTGAGATATTATCAGCCACATGGCATCTTTCACCTCAGGAGCTTCCCCACAAAACCAAAGATACATTTTTGAACATGAACAACTGAATCCAGGAGATTTGAAGGTCAAAGGGTTGTGACATCATCAAGGTCAACAAGGCTTAACAAGTGCCTGAGGGGACACTTGGTGGTTTTTAGAGACCTGAGTCCTTTCAGCAATACTCCACAGATGATCTTCAACGATTCATGTGATGTTCATCATTTATGTGATTCATGATCTCTTTGATGTTTTTTAAGGGCCGTGGCCAATAAGGACGATTGTTTGTCGGGTCAGTACACAGAACCAGTGGAGAATGCTGTGACAGTGTCAGCCCGGTGAGGGTTGTGTTCCACACAAACATAACACTTCACGACGGCCCAAGAAGCATTTTACTTTTGGTGTAACCCTGTTGCCGTGGCAACACAGTCTTCGCACTAAACAACAGAGGTGCTTTTGAGGGACTAAACGTGCTGGAAAATGTGACTAAAGTGGGCCAACAAAGATGTTACCTGCTATGATTTCAATGCTTCAAAATGGCAATTTGGCTCAATAGCGCCCCCTACAAATATTGATTCAAGCCGCCCCAGTGCTACGTTTGACCTATGTGTGAAATGTTGTAGTAATATGTAAACATGTAAACTGAAAAGAAAGTATCTTGTCATTATACTCAAAACCCTATACCGGAAGTAAGCCATTGTGAATTTTCTGTGATATTTCCGTTGTATGTTTAAAATAAATGTAATGTGCTTACGTTCAAAAGCTCCAGCTTTTTTCCCCCAATGCCCGATTGACATTTTGGCATTTAAATGGGAAATGTTGGATGGACGGCACACTCTAAGAAGCCTTGTAAAATCAAGATGTAAGATTCAACTCTATGTGGAATCCATGTAGAATACTTTCAATCAGTCAGGTGTGACACCAGGAAATTGCCTGTTTTTTACCAGAGCAAAAGAGAAGACCAGATAAAAGAGACAGGAAATGTTTGCTTTTGATCTCTGAAATAAAATTGTAAACGTAAACTGCAAATCACAACATTGGACTTATTGTCTAAATGTCAAGCTAATTAAAATGATGCATCACTGGCCTTTTGAGGTACGTTTTTTAATACATTTTCGTCTTTTAAAAATAGCTACAAATACCCGTCAGGAGCTGAGAACTAAAATTCATCAAAAAAATTCAATCCATCACCTGGACCGTGGCTCTATTCCCCTCTAGTGGCGTGCTCAGGTAATACAGGCTCTCTTTGCACCTTGAACAAGCAAAAGGTGAATGTTTGCCTTTGTAAGTACATTTCATTGTAATGAAAGCCAAGTGAAATCATGCACTTGCCTAATGTCTAGTCAAATGCTGGTTATCACTGGCAGAAAACCAACAACTCAGATCCCCAAAAGAGTCAGAAACACCGGGCGCGGGCATATCAATAGCTGTGGACATCGCTGTGGTCAAATAGCTGCTGGACAGAGTGTGTTCTATTCTGCAGATGAATGACGGCATTTATGAAACGCAGACACAAGCCATCATTATAGAACAACAATTATAGCCACTGTTCCATGTAGTTTGAAAGATGCTTTTGAAAAAAAAGACATTTGTTACTTTTTATCCCTTCCAGCTCCTCTCAGAAGAGTCTCCTTTTGCCTTTTGAGTCTCTCCCTTAGGGGTGCTAGCTTTGTTCTTAGGAGCATTGCATGGAGCCGCTCCCAAAACACGACCCTGCTCCTCCCCTGCTTTCTTTAAAGGCAAAATAGTATTGCATCCTAAACGGACACTGGATAACAAATGGTTTAATCATAACAGAGAGACTGAAGTTGCAGAACACCATGTCTTTTTTCAAACTTGCGTCAGAAGGGTGTGACGCATGCAGCCCTGCCAGGAAAATACACACATTAATCTAACTTTCTCTGGAGGGATCTGGGACATTGAGAAATTATGTTAAAAAGAAGTTAAGGCAGATCTAATTCGAAATACAATAAGGGGTATTGTGGGGGGAGGAAAGTATTATGTGGCCTTTTGAGATTACATAAAAACAACCTTGTGCAAAAATGAAGGACGTGAGCAAAGTCCTCTCCTTTGTCTGTGAGGGGCCTCGAGGGGGAAGGGGTCCATTTGAAATTAGCACAGCAGATGTCCGGTTGACAGGAGGGCTTCCCCACACCCCTCCATCACAGGGCAGCCAGATTTTGCATCCACTAGTCGCCATGGAAACCACGTGCAAACCGGGAAACCAACCCCAAAAGTGCCAAAAAATATATAAGAATATTTGAAGCCGTAATATTACAAGCTATTTAATGGCAGAGTGTTGGCAGTTTAGAGGGGGGTTCACTGAGCCATCGCAACTGTATTCCCACGATGACGATTCATTTTCATCGGGTTTTCCCACCCGCTTCCCGCATAGACGGCCCGTGTGCGTCTGCGCCACAGGCTGCGATCCGCTGGCTCACGTCGGCGCTTCAGCTGATTCACGAATATTTACACCGTTCAGTTGCGTCGGCTGCTGGGCGGAATCCTCCACACACACACACACACACACACACACACACACACACACACACACACACACACACACACACACACACACACACACACACACACACAGAGAGAGAGGTGGCGTTTTACTGACATCCTATAGGCGTGGTTTTGGATGGAGATGCTGCGTCTGCTCCCGCTGGGATCCCCACCTGCCCTCACACCGTGTTTGTCGGCTGCTATTTTCATGAGCTTCAGCCACTACGGCGAATGTGATTAGATACGGATATATATATATATATATTTTATTTTTTTGTCAGCGGGGATATCGATTTGTTTTTGCCCGGGGGTGGGGTGGGCTGTAGTGCGCTGTGGACGTACGCGGGCGGGGGGGGGGGGGGGGGGGGCGCCCGTTTTTATCAGCCTCCAGAGCGAGAGGAGGCGGCGGCGGCGGCGGCGCGCGCCACTTCGTGCGGAGACCAACAGGAGAGGACGGCGCGTCGTGAGTGAACCACAGCAGAGACCCCGGTTCATGTGTTGGGCTGTTCCGAGCGCACGTCGTGCCCGCAGCGGTTCTCGAGAATGGAAAATACACGCAGGATGCCCAAGAGACCGCGCTGGCTTTGCGCACTGGTTTTGGCGTCTGTCTTACTTGCGGTGGACAGCAAGAGAGTGAGACCACCTCGCTGCCCCTCATCGTGCACATGTACCAAAGATAACGCGTTGTGCGAAAGCGCAGGACTGATCCCGCGCAGCTTTCCGCCCGATGTCATATCACTGTAAGTCACATTATCGTTATTTCGTAAAGGATTTATAAGCAGTGCTCACGTGGTGGGTTTACTTTTAATGGTGCTGCTGCTGCCGCACATGGATGCTCACAGGGATCTGTTCATGAGACCGTCTGTGCTTTAAAGCTAACCGGCGTCTGCCTGTCATGTGTCCCCCCCACCCTCCCTCTCCCCCCTCAGATCATTCGTCAAGTCTGAATTCACTGAAATCCCGAAGGAGAGCTTCATCCACACGCCTGCCCTGCATCTCCTGTGAGAAATCTATCTGGAGCTTTTTGTTTCTTCAGTCTTTGTTGCATGCAGCCAGACCCCATGTGAGGTGATCAACGCCATGTTTAGTGCTCAAGCCCCCCCCCTATAATTGTACACATTATGATAGAATGGATGCTGGCTAATCTGAAAGGGGGGGGGGGGGGGACTGAAGCACAAAGCCTTTTAGAGAAATATACCTTTGAAAATGATTTGCGTATACACCTTCTCACAGTGTGGTAGACGTCCTACCCTAACAAGTATTTGTGCCTATGGTGAGACTTGCTTTCAGATGGAGATTTATTGATGGGGAATCCCTCCCTTTGAACGGGGACTTCCCCCGTCACTCTAATGGGCTGGAGTACTGACTTAGTCACTCTGTCCTCCAAACAATTGGTCCTGTTGATGTTTTTTTTTTGTTGCGAATTTCGCATTCCAGCTCCATCCAGCAGCTAATGTGAGATCGCAGCTCGCTGGGATCTAATTTGTGAGCAGGAATGGTGAAATATAATGGATTTCTGTGCACAGTCTTTTCACAGCCAACAACCTGGAATCTATAAACGAGGATGCTTTCCTTGGTCTTCCTCATCTTGAGTATCTGTGAGTAGAGGCCCCAATTTTACAGGCTGTTAAAAAGCTGTTGAATAACAAGATTGTCTCCCCCTCACATGCATTTATTCAACACCTTTTTCAGGTTCATAGAAAATAACCAGATTACATCGATTTCACCATATGCTTTTCGTGGACTGAAAACCCTCGTGCATCTGTAAGTATGAAAGGTATTTTTAACTCCCTGTGCATGAAATGCAGTACTATTTTTAATTCAAAAATAGGATGATATATTCATTTCTGTTCGATTTTAATACAAAATAGTATCGCCCTTTTTGAAAGCAAATATATAGTAGCTTTCTGATCCTTGCAGTTCAAACTGTTGGCAGTTGCAGGCAAGAAGCTGCTCCAGTGATAAACAATATCTGATGCTGCTGTTGACACGACTATGAATCCAGTCACATTAGCCGTTGGACTTGATGAGATTAGAAGGCCCCATTACAAGAGCATTTAGCTTCAGATGAAAAATCTCTTTTCAAGAGAAGTCCTTTTGTTTTGTAGCAGAGAGACCCATTAACTTGCTGAGGAGGCAGTTCTAAAAGTAGCTTAATGTCTTCTTTAAACTCAAGGTTCTTGCCTTCCGTCTCCAGGGTGGCAAGATGTGTCCAAACTCTTTAACAGATATCCTCTGCTAGGAAACACAGCATAACATATCCTATATATAACTTTTCCTTTTATACGGCACTTGAAGTTCCATTTACAAATGGATCTGCAAATGTACATATACAACAGTAGAACACGTCTGCAGGTTCTGCACACTGAATACCTGGTGAAACACAAACAATAAGCAAAATATCTGGTGTTTTCTTCCTCTCTTCCAGGAGTCTGGCCTACAATAATCTGGAGACTCTGCCGAAAGATCTGTTCAAGGGTCTTGAGGCGTTGACAAAAGTGTAAGTACACATTTAAATCCTTCATTATCCAGAAACAAAGAGATAAATTGCACAGTGTTACATAAGTATAAGGTGGTCCTTCCATTTATAGACCTTTGTTTAATCATTTCTCTTCAGCCGAGGCTTGACAAATGAGTGGGTGGTGCTTTTAGCGCCATTAAAATTGCAAGCGGCAGTGAGGAAGAGGGATGGTTTGTAATCCATCACCCGCTGAAGATGTTCAGTTCTCCAGTGTGGCCCCTCGTGAGCTGTGAGGGCCAGAGGGCAACGTCTGCATTTACCATTCAAAAAGGTTCCCGTTGGAAGTGAATTTGGTCTTCTCTCTTCAGAGACTTGAGAGGCAACCAGTTCACCTGTGACTGTAAGCTGAAGTGGTTGGTGGAGTGGATGTACAGCACCAACGCTACAGTGGACCAGATTTACTGTAAAGGCCCGGCCGCACAGCTGGACAAGAAGATTAACGACCTGGTGCCGCTGTCCTTCGACTGCATCACCACAGGTGGAGTACAGAAAATACTTCTTATTCAGCTTTGTTTTTTTATAGCAACGAGGCCAGCTTCTCCTGGCTTCTTTAATCACGCACGCCATGTTTTTGTTCCTCTAATAGAGTTCGCTTCCTACCAGTCCCTGAAGTTTGAATCCATATCCGTGGAGGCCTTTTCCTTTGGGAATGAGCAGTATGTGGTGTTCGCTCAGCCCTTCATAGGGAAATGCAGCTTTCTAGAGTGGGATCATGTGGAGATGGTCTTCAGAAGCTTCGATGACATTGACAGTAAGCAAAGGTTGTTTCGCATACGCTGTCATGTGGTTGTGATTGAGCTGTGTGAGTCTAAAATGAGGCGGGGAATGAGATTGAAAGATGAGCCCCTAGATGGAGACATTCGTCCAGAACAAGTGAAACTATCTTGTTTTTCTCTCCTCTTTCTCCTCACCAGGCACATCCACGGTGATTTGCAAACCTCTGGTCATTGACAACCAGCTCTTCGTCATCGTGGCCCAGCTGTTTGGTGGCTCACACATCTACAAGCGCGACTCCTCCGCCAACAAATTCATCAAGCTCCAAGGCATCGACATCCTCAAAATCCGCAAACCAAACGACGTTGAGACGTTCCGCATCGACGGCGAATCCTTCTTCGTCATAGCGGACAGCTCCAAGGCCGGATCCACCACCATCTATAAGTGGAACGGCAACGGCTTCTACTCTCACCAATCGCTCCACCCGTGGTACCGGGACACGGATGTGGAGTACATGGAGATCTCCTCCAAGCCTCACCTGATCCTGTCCAGCAGCTCCCAGAGGCCGGTCATCTACCAGTGGAACAAAACCACCAAGCTGTTCGACCGGCGCACCGACATCCCGGAAATGGAGGACGTTTACGCCGTGAAGCACTTCCAGGTCAAATCCGACCTCTTCATCTGCCTGACGCGATTCATCGGCGACTCCAAAGTGATGCGCTGGGACGGGGCCCTCTTCAGAGAGCTGCAGACCATGCCCTCCCGTGGCTCCATGGTGTTCCAGCCCTTCTCCGTGGGCAGCTGGCAGTACGCCGTCCTGGGCAGCGATTACTCTTTCACCCAGGTGTACCGCTGGGACGCCAAGAAGGGCGAGTTCGTCCACTTCCAGGAGGTGAACATCCAGGCACCGAGGGCCTTCTCTCCGATCTCCATAGACAACCGGCAGTTCCTGCTGGCCTCCAGTTTCAAAGGGAAAACTCAGATTTACGAGCACCTGGTCATTGATCTGAGCGACTGATCTATCGACTGGTTTGCCGATTGTCTGATTATTTGTGTGGTTTCTTTGGCTGTTGTAGCAGATCAAGACAGCACTGCAAGTTTTAGGGGATCCTAGCTTGAGCAAGGCAGGTGTGAATACATTTGGCCGAGATGCATATTGTTTCAATGCATGCACCTCAAATTAGGATTAGACCATGACGTTAATGCATGAGCAGGGCCTCACCCCGGCCATCCCGTCCTGATGAATGCAACAACCATGCTCACTATTCCATTCAATCTTGCCTGTAGGTTTTTTTGTTTATGTTCAGCTTTTAATGTGTCTCAACAATGTTTATACATTTGTAATCTCATATATTTATCTACAGAAAGTAATGACGAAATGGTAATTTATAATCTATTAACATGTTTAACTGAACAAATCTGCCAAAATGAAAAGTTTACATTTTTCTGTCTTTCCACTTGTGCGCTAAACAATTTGTAAATGTAGCTTTTGTAAGTTTAAGAGGGACCATGCCGGTTGGATACATATTTGTTAAGGATTTGAGATTAAGTTTATAATTTGGAAAATATCCACATAAATGTGTGAAAAATATACCTGAAAATCAGGTATAACATTTTTATTGATAATGGTTTGTACAATGTTTAAAGTATTGAAAATAACAGCTTTTCATAAGCATGGAAGCCGTTTGGGAACACAGGAACTATTTTCACACAATTGAAGGAACTGAATCGAGACACTAAGGATATTGTTTGTGATCTTTTACCTTTGACTAACATTTGCGCATAATAAATCAACTGTGTCATGATTAGAATTAAGTTATTGACGAATATCATGCTATGTAGAGTCAATAAAGGTTTACATTGTTAGCTGTTACATCTTATTTGAGCTTGGCACTGTGTCGCATTGCCAAACAACACCAAAGCCAAACAACAACCCGCACAAACACAACTAACCTCACTGCTCGAAGGAAATTGACAAAAAAAAAAAATATATACAAACAAATAAAATCATCTTTATTTTCTCCAACAAAGTGCACGCCTCAAATCTACAAAGCAGCACATTACAATGTAATGGAATAAATACAATAAAATTTGTAGAATAAAAAAAGAAAACAAGCGAGGAGATACACAAGTACCTGCACAACCATACTGGTGGGAGGACTAAATCAGACCCTTTAGAAAGGCTTCTTGAGACAAACTGCTTCTTTCATTGTAGTTGTTTGACTTTCCATTCAGGTTTTTAGGATAAAGGCGTCCTCTGCTTTCCAAAGTAAACCAATTTTACCCTGTTTGTTTTAAACTGAGGACGACCAAACCAACATGGAGGAAATACAGGTGCATACTTTCATGTTCATGCCTGCTCATCACCATGGAAAACATGTGCAATTGCAGTAGGGTCTCCAAATCACCTACCGACTGCTGAGACAAAATAAAGTGAACACATTTTCGGGTTTAACTGAAGTTACTACTTAAGTCTATGCAACTTAGTTTTTTTTCCATAGGCAAATAAAATATAACACAAAAGGCAAGGGAACACATCCCTTAATACTCCACAAAATAATTTAGTGCTCTTTAAAATTAAATTAAAAACACTATTTTCATATGTTGGCTCTTAAAAAAAAGAATAAAAAAACAACAACAACCTCACAGACCAAAAGGATAATGCTTTAAGAGACATCAATTATATTAGGAAAGAACTGAAATCCCATGAAAAAAAAGACATTATTGACAGTAAAATTATGTACAGAACCCAAAATCAATATACAATACAGTACCTGCAGATGTTATGCATACAGTACAATTCTCTTTTTACGTAGTTTTAGTATTGGCTCCAACCTGATCTATATACTGACTTAACACAGGTGGAAAAGCGGCTATCTTAGCTTTCGGTAACTTAACGGTTATTCAGCAAGGAGAGTAGATCTTGTAGTAGGCGTTTAGAAAAAGAGATGGGAAACATTATTGCAGGATGGTCATCTTCAGTTGCATACTGCACGTGTTACATGAATGTGTGCTATGACGAGAGCGCCGGACGGAAGGAAAAAAAAAACTGGGGTTTAGCTGTTTTTCTATCTCTCCGTCACAGAGGTTAAACCTTGCGTTACCTCTCCGATCCACTACCCTGTACAGTACATTCGTGGCCAGCATTGCACGTTTACCAGCCGAGTCCCCCCCCCTTCATTTTGCCAGGTGAGGACGTTCAGTGCTGAATTGTTAAGTGCTGTCCTGTAAGTCAACACTAATCCAGTGATGAGAATAGACCGTAACCAGCGCTCACCAAAGACTGACCGGGACGCCATCTGCCGTCACAGTTTGAGCTCGTTGGCAATTTTGCAGGCGATATTCTTAAAGGCGATGGACGTGCCCGATATCCTCTTGAAGCGCACGCCGTTGAGGGAAAGTCGGGGCAGCTTGCACACCTCCATCTCCCACTGGACCAGGTTGTCCTGGCGAGCGTCGCCGTGGACACAGAAAAGCAGAAAGCGTTCGCGCTGCTCGTAGTCGCAGCTGTTGACGTCAAGAACCTTTCGGATCTCCCTCATCATCTCGGCCGGCTCCATGGAGGAGGTGGTCTTCATGCTCCAGGTGAAACGGAGCGAGCGAGGCTTGGAATCCCGACAGCCGTCCTCCTTAGTGTCGCCTGACGCACTTCTACACCAACAGAAGGGAAGACAGAACAGGAATAGAAGCGTGGGGGGGCGCTGAAGGAGGCAGAAGTTGGTTCCATGCTTTCTATGAAATCTACGCCTCAATCAAATTCTCACCTCGGTGTTTCTGTCCTGGCGCTGGCCTCTCCCTCACTGGGCACCCTGAAAAAAAACGGGAGCACACTGTTAGTCCCCCGAGCTGACGAGTTCACCCACCACCCTCCCAACCCAAACCCCCCATCATAAACGGATACAGAGAAGGGTGTCAGGCATCATGCCAGGAAAGAATCTACACTCCTGGGTCACAGGGTTCACAACGAGGTGACTCCATGATGGCCATACTTCACAATAACCCCGAGCATCATCCTGTGTACTGAACCGTTTCCCAAAATCCCCACAGTGGAAAAATGATTGTAAATCTTTGATCCGGCTGCCATTGCATGCTTTTTGGCCGAAGGTCACCTCGAGGACGAGGGAGAGCAAGGAGAGAAGAGCCGGCCACTTAAGGGGCACATATACCGCGGCTTAGTTTAGTTAAAACTGAGAATTGTTCTCGAGGCAGTGGACACAAAGGAAGGAAATAAGACGGCATAACAAGGGTGTTAGTAGGCAAAGGATGTGTTGTCGTGGAGCAAATGCGTAAGGGTTAAGGAAACACGGGCCGAGGTTCACAGTGGGCACAGTTCTGTTAGGTGTTTTTGGACGGGGGAGGTGGGGACAGGTGCAGCAAGCGTTGTGTTTTCCTACCTCCGGGTTGACCTGAAAGACATAGCTCTATGTGGGGAGAGAAGGAGAGAAAGCTGTGAGCCTCTGCCAGATGGGCAGCCGCGAAGGTGACGTGAGGAGCTGCTGTTTGCACGATGTGGTCCTTTCCTTTGTCACATTAACAGCGTGGAATTAGGATACGCACTAAGGATTGGGAGTGGATCCGAGTGACTTTGGGGGCAGGGAGAGTGTGTGATGCTTTCTTTGTGTTTACTGCTCAAAACGTTTCCAAAAGTAATTTGAGCACAATCCTTATTTAATCTCTTTAGTTTGATTTTGGGGAATTTTACTATAGTTTAGTAGTTTTAATGTTACTGCAGGCACCTTGGACCCAGAATTAGCCATTTCATTTCTTAGCTATTCGGCCGTCCTTTGTATTTTGTGCAAATTATCAAGAATTAGCAATGCACACATGCCTAAACAACCTGCAGGGACATTGGTATAAAGGGTTAAGTTTTGCTGGTTTGGTTAGAAATGAAATCTGTTGTCAACAACTTGTTCTGACCTAAAAAAAAATACTTCAGTGAATATCCTGAATTTTGTAGTTTTTAATGGAGATTACTAACGAGTGGCACATCAGTACGATTAGTTTGCAGAGTACGTATAGGAGCACAGTAGCAGGAGTATAAATCAACCTTCAGTTGCAAAGGAACCACAAATACTTAAAAACTGAAGAACACATGAATGCCAGTACTTAAGTCACAAAGTGGATCACTTTGACTTTTTCATCGCTGTGCTATTTGTGAGAGCCAAGACTCGACTGCCAAAGGAAATGTGAACTGTCGGGTGCAAGAAGAGGAGAGTACAAACCCCTGCTGAGCCGCGGTTTGTCTTCACTCACCTGCGGACAAACTTTGAAGTGATCTTGCTGATGATCCCGGTGGAGGTGCCCCTGCGTTGCTGAGCGAGAGCCCCCGTATCGTGGGACAGCGTGGGCGAAGCCGGGGGCCCGTTGTAAGTGGCGCTGCGCCGGTCTCTGAGCTGAGCGCCGTGAAAGGTGCTGCGGCTGGTGGTACCGCGGGGGAAGCGGTTCTTCTCTGGGGTGCTAATACTGTGTGCAGACGGAGAGGTGGAGGGACCCCGCGGAGAGGAGCTGCAACATAAGAATACAAAGACAAATGCCTACATGCGCTGAAAGATCTGCATGCTCGCAATACTGTAATTTAGAGGTAAATTATTCCATCAGCATCACTATCTGTGACCCTTTTTACAGTTACAGTTTTGCAGTTTGGTCAGGTGACGATCAGGCTGCTCACCTGGCTTTCAGCTCCGTGTTGTCGTCGATGGGGGGCAGTGTGCTCTTTGAAGGATGCCCTGTCGATGACATGGACTTGGTGTGGCGAGGTCGGGTAGCGCTCATGGCAGTCGACGAGGTGCTCCCCGACACCTCGGTCAAACTGGGAACCGTGGATGAAGACGTGGTTAGACACTGGTACGGTGTGGATTTGAACAACACGCTATCAAATAAAACATCAAGATCGAGAAACTGGAGGATGAGATCTCACCCTGCAGGGAGTGTATTTGCGTTTACCTGCTGTCTTTGCCATTGGGAATAGCTGAATAGCGGTCAGTAGAGGATCGTTCACACACATATGTGTTCCTGCGGGTCATTGAACCATTGGTCTGTTTGTGGAAAGAGAGACAAAGAACGTCAAAGCATTTTTATCATTTAAAGCATTAGTAAAGCTAACAAATTGGATGATTAGGTAAAAACCCTGCACCTATTTGTATAAGAGCATGTGGTGTATATGGACATGTGTGAAGAACTGTGTCCTCATCTTCCTCACCCCTACAGCACTTGTGGTTTTCTTCCTCTCCTGCACCCCCAGTGGCGAGGCGGGAACGTCTCCTTTCGACGTGTTGAGCTCCAGCCGGCGCGCTCCGTCCCACTCCTCCCTGTGGTCGCTCTCCACACTCAAGGCCTGGCCGCGCTTGGTGTACGATACTGCCGGGGGAACAGATGGACCAACTAGCAGACACACACACACACGAGAACGAAATAAAAAAAAACTCTCAAACTGGACAGAGCTCCAATAACAGGAATTCTCAGAACAACAAAGCAAGAAACAAAGCACAGTCTCCTTGTTATAATAGCGCCAAGCAAAGCCACTCAAAGCAAAGATTTAGACACCATCTAGTCTGTAAAATATAGATCTGCCACACATGGTTCATCAAGTCGTACAGCTACAGAAGCCAGGGTTGTACAAGCATGTACAAAGCAAAGTGGTTCCCTCCTCATGCTTTGAGGTGCTGTTGCTCAGGGAGCTGCAGGAAGGCGGCCAGCCAGCAGATGGCGCCAGACACAATGGCCCCACAAGACTACGGAGGAAGCTGCTGAACAACCGGTGCAAAGTTCAGGTTGAGTCACTGGTTTGAACATTTCGATGGACTGATCTTGAAAATAAACATTAAACCACTAGATTGGGTTTAAATATGCTAAAACAAGCCATTTGTATTCACA